GAAAAACTCGTACAAAAAATATTTAATTTTATTATTCATTAAACATTATTATTTATTTTATAATTAGTCAAATGAATTTGAAAATTAAAATTGTTGACAAAGAATTATTTATGTAATTTGATATATATGTGATATATTTTATGTCAATAGAAATTTGGAATGTTATGTTGTCTGAGTTTCATCTTTAAATTCTTCCACTAGCCGACTTTTATAGAGTATTCCATGGCAGCTGAGTGGAAGTCAACGTGCTCTGTCGTGTTCTTTTGCCAAATGACGGGGCGTTGCTTACATCGACATTTACTTTGATTTTTTTCTCCCTTCGTTATTTTTTCTGCAATTATACGCCTTAAGTGCTAAGTGGGCGTGGCGCGCATTTAACTTTTAAAAATAGAAGAGTCGAGTTCTCTGCTCGCTCACCATGTGAACACTGTACTTTGTCTAGCTATCTGCTGGACTTTCTGAATTTATTTAGGTATTGGAATTTAATATATATACCATCTCAACACTTAAATATCAAGGTGTGAGTCGAGAAGAACGAGAGGAACTTGAATCGGACAGAAAAATTGTTCAAGTCATTTAAGTGAATGTTGAGCTCTTCTGTAGTTGGGCATATTTCGAAAATTGGTTTATTGTGTCGTGACAAATTGAATGGCTTTCGATTATTTAATGAACTTTCGCCTTTTCCTGTAATATGAACGAGTATCATGCAGTCGAGTACTCAAACGTTCTTATTTACTTTGATTGCTCAAAACTGTTGCCTACTTTTCAGAGAGCATTGACCAAAGATCGAGCAGTGCTTGCTGATATGTTTATTTCCTGTTATTGCAGCATTTACATACACACACTCACACACACACTTGTGCATAAACCCAAACATAAATATAAATATAAACATATATGGTGATATGTCAGTCGACAGTCAGATGTTGAGCTGATTGTTTTGCCGGCTGCTGTTGACACAGAATGAGACTATTATTTGGGCCTTGTCAGTCAATTGCCAGTTGCCAGTTGAGTGGCATTATTTTGTACAATTTTGCAGGAAACTAGTTATACATTGTTAGTTAATACAATACACAAGTAGAGGGGGTAATAATGAATCAATCAGTTGAGCTAGTTGTTAACAAATTGTGTGCTGTCCAGTCACAGAGTGAAGGCTTCAAAGGGCGTCTTGAACTGGGCGTGTGTGGAATCCATAATTAATATGGTGCAATTTGATTTGCATAACTCAAATTGTTTTGAGTACGACTGAAAGGTATTTTCGGTACATGTTTCGAGTCGTAATTAAATCGGTTGCTGGCTTATGCAGAACTTCAAATTGCTTGGCCAGGGGCAGCTGAGGCAACTCAGTTGCTCAGTTTAAGTTTAGTTTTTAGATTTTAAACTAAATGTAAAACTCTATATATGTATATATATATATATATGTGCTGTGTGTTTTTTTGGACGAGTGGACGGGCAGATGGACGGGGCGGCATGAAATATTGTTTTTAGCCAGGGGAAATGAGAATTTACAAGCTCTGCACGAATTCGGCTAATGGCTGTATTAGCGACGTCAACTCTTTGGCTTCACTTAGCGCAGTTATTTAATTAAAGCCTGGCTCCCGTCGGCCACGCCCCCCTTCAGAAGCCAGAGTCGGAGCGCGCTACTGCGACGCCCCATAAATAAATTAAATGTGACATTTGACCGCCATTTGTCTTGGCCGGCATTTACTTGGCAAATACTTGTATCTTATGTGTGCGCTGGCATAAAATATAGTTGGGAGTTTCTGCTAGCTCGTGTTGTAATTAACAAATGGAAGGAATGGGGGAGCCCTCCCCCTCTTTATCTATCTATGACTCTGACTCTGAAACAGACTTCAACTTTGACCTTGGCAGTTGCGCTGATTGATGGCCCAAGTGCTATTTGAGTGTCTATTTATATTTTGTATTCTGTTTGTTTCTTTGCATTGCTTTTTGCTCTTCATTCCCTTCATTCTATGGCTTCTATGAAATGATATAACAAGTGGGCGCATGGACACATGTGTTATTAATGATATCTGCCTTGGCCTTGGCAATAACTCAACTGAGATTGATTAGTCAGCGTGCTGTTGTTGCCAAATGAATACGAGTTACCAAACAACTGAATGAATATGAATTTCATTATTATTGCCCTGCGCTCTGCTAAATAATGCTACAACTGCAGAGATAGTAGAGAAAAACGTTTACAAATATTGTAAAATCAAATATTTATGCGATGCCAATGCATATCTTCTGGCAAAATAGCTCTGCTCATACCACAAAAAATGCAGAATGTTTTCAAATAACATGCCAATTTCCTGCTTTTTTTCTTGTGAATTATTGGCTCAGCAAACAATTAAGTGAAAATCTGCTGCCAAGTAGATAAAATCATAAAGCACTGAAATTTTTACTATCCACACACACACACACACACATTTTGCATAATCTCAATGGATTGTAATTTGAGCACGTAGCAAGGTACTCACAATCTCGCATTATCCAGAGTCCACCTGTGGAAACAAAGGAGAAAACTTAATCAACGGCCGGGCTCGCTGGGCTATGGATGCATATTGAACAGCTGGCAGTGAGGATTCTTTCGTTCGTTTATGGCATGTGTTTCAATTAGACCAATGTGGGATAGAATGGACCAGGATATGCCAGTCATTTGCACAAAGGACTCTCGAGAAGGCAACATGCTGTAGCTCGCTTTGTCCACAGTGCGTATGCGTAATGAATTTTTGCTGCATGTACAGAATGTAATATACAAAGTGACAGGTGTTTAGGAAATGTCAAGGTGTACATGTCCGTACGCTTATATACATATGTGTGTATTTGCGTGTGTGTGTGTGAGGGGATAAATGAAAATTTGCTTAGCTCGATTAAATGAACACGCCAAGCTAATAAAAATCGTGCAAACGAGTTGCCAACAGCAACGGCAACGGCAACGGCAACGGCAACAGTAATAGCAATGGCAACAGGAGATGGAACAACGACAATGCAGCCAGGCAAATCTCATCATGCAAATTAAATTTGGCAAATGCTTCCGACGCTTGCACAAAAATGTGCGAAATTGAATTAAATATGCATGCAAATACAGTCAAACGGGTATAAACAAAAATAAAAAAAATAAAATAAAATAAAATTAAGGAAACGAGGGGGGAAACATGTAGCCAAAAAAGTTTTTAGACCACATGTATGTGTATGCCACATACATATTTATAAGCGTACATGTATTTCCATATATATTTGTATACATTTATGTATGTGTATGGGTCTATGCATTGCTAAGCACTAAGCAGCCACATTTGTATACATATCTGTGTGTGTATATGTGTGTGTGTTCCTGAAATTACTTTCACCGACTGAAAGTTAGAAATTGAGAGTAATCTACTGGCGGTACTGTGTGCCTAGTTAGTCGACTTAATTGAGTTTAATTAACTCATCTGCAGCTTTATGTAGACAAAGTGGTTCATCTATTGTATGTATATATGAAGGTATGCATGCATGTATTGTATATATTTATGTATGTATGTATGTATTATTATGCACACTATTCATAGAGATTGACGATCCTAGTAATTGTAATCGTAAATTTAGCCATACAATTTGTAGATCATTCGTTATGGTTGTGTATGTAAGTCAATCAATCAATCAGACATTGTAGTCAATCAATTTGTCAGAGTTAATAGGGTTTAATCATATCTAAACTATTTCTATTGCTGTTCATGTTTTATTCAATCAGACAGTCAACACTCCTCGACCTTTAAGTCAATATCAATCAATCAGTTTGCTGTAGTAATCAATAGTATTTTATCAATTCACGTTTGCATCCGATTTGTTTGGACTTGGTCAATCATTTCGGATACTATCTTAATAGTTAATCTAGTTGGCTTTCTTAAAATAAGTTTGGATTCTTTGTATAATTTATAAGACATATAGAACTTGAAACTCAATATATAAATATATATGTATATATGTATATCTGCAAATTCTCCTTCTCACTCTTTACATTTGATTATGTTTCGTGGAACAACATATTCGCGCTATAAAGTAGACGCTGTTTATACTTACGGTTGTGCATGCCACGAAAGCTGACAGCTGCCAGAAATGCCAGCAGTACGCTGCCAGCGCCCCAGACTCCAGATGGGGGGCTAAATCTGCTGGCTCTTCTGCCAGCGAGTTTGCCAAGCACCTTCTCCCCGGCGATTGCTCGCCCTCCTGCACGGCCCTCGCCTCCTTCGCCTCCTCCTCCTCCTCCGGCTGCTGCTGTCGCTCCTCTGGCTGCCCGTCGACAGCGCATTTTATTGCGTGAGAAGATTGGTGGCTGCTTTGTGTCACACCTTGGATATGTGTGGCTAATGTTGTTGTTGTTTTATCTATTTAAAAGTTGCTGTTGATGTTACCGTTGTTGTTGTTGTTGTTGTTGTTGGTGCTGTTCGTTTGTTGTTGCTTTTTATCCGAGATTCGTTAGCTCAAGTACCTTGTCATGCTGCACGGATTAGAATACACATACATATTTGCTATTTAACTTCTCTCTCTCTCTTTCTCCCTCTCTCTCTCTCTCCCTCTCTGTCTCTCTAATGGTTTCACATATATAATTATATTTTGAATGCAATCTGCAAGTTTCTTTCAGCTGCATTTGCATCGGATCGTACGTGACTCTGGCTCGCCTGCCTCAATGCGAATCCTCAACATATTTCGCATTTTATTTGGCAAAGTCAACCGCAAAGGAAAAGCGGAACAAAAAGACCAAACGTAAAATAGTGCAAAACGAGGATGAAAAACGCTGTTAGACAAAACCACAAAACCAAAGCTTTTGGCCCAACTCCCGCCCCATTTGGTAAGCGCTGCTATCAAGGTTATGTGATGAATGGATATTTATTTTGGTTGCAGCCGAATGGCCGGCGAACTAACTGGCTAGAAATTGCATTGCCTAGCTCTCGGGGCTGTAATTCTCGAACTGCATTGATTGCGAGTCAATAAATTGCCGAGCCATCCCCAAGTTCTGTGGGCTCCAGAAATTGTGCCTGTGTGCAAATAGCAGCTGCCAGCTTGCAGTGCAAACTAATTTCTTTTGAATTTTGCTGTGGCCAAATAAATATGTGTCTCAGCCTGATATTGGCCAGGTAAATGAAGAGACCTTAGCACCCACCGGGGACCAGCTGCTACCGCATCCAATTTAAACTTTCACAAAATTATCGTGTGGCTTGCCACACCTACAACAACACAATATGAAAATCACAAAGCAGCTACGACTCGTTTCGATGATGCAAGAAACAAAAAACAAAAACAACAACAAAATGTAAAAGTAAATACATGAAAATGCGGCAAGAGCTTACACGTAAGCACTATCCTATCTTTGACCCCAATTGTTTGTCGTGGGGATGAGCAGTGATAAAAAGCTGAAATATTCATTCTCTTTGTTGAGTCCTTATAAAGAAGTGATATTTATCTCAAATCTTTTCTTGTAAACTATGTGTGGATAGCCTTTGTAATCAAATTTTTTGAGATAAATATTGCGCAGAGAATTTGTTGCTGGTATCTCTAATATACAGAATACAAATTTTAAGGAAAGAGGAAAATATGTATGAATATCCTTACAATTAAGTAAATAATGATATGAGCCTTTTCTAGTCTTTTTGATAATCTGTAAGTATTTTCCAGCACTATCCTTCAATTACTACTTACATAGGTACTGATATACTTCAAAACTATGATGAGACAAAATAATTTACCAAATTATATAGCCCAAGGTAAACCAACAGAAATTGATCAAATAAATTGCTAAAAATTTCAGTTTCTGAAGTCGCTTTTCATACACTTTGCAACACTGTTTAACAGTGATTGCCTAGCCTTAACTCTTTGGCCACTAAATCTCAATCGATGTCAGCAATCAGTCAATCAACTGTGCATATAGAAATTTCTTACAGGATTCTTATTGCTTACATTTAGTAATTAGATAAAAGATTATTAAAGTCATGTACAACTTTTCTTATAATTATTTAAGGGTAAATTGATCTACGACCTGTGTCACACGCCTAATTGAATGGCTGTCAGTCAGTTTGCTCCGCTTTTCACTTATTCCTTTATTTTGCTTTTTTATTATATACATATATTTTTTACACCTTCTCGACGGCTATGGCGCAGCGCGCCTTAATGAGTTTAAAATCTAAATTTTCACACACCGAGCACACAATGCAAACACAATGGCGTGCTGAGCCTCAGAGCTCAGAGTCAAAAGTCGACTCGGATTATCTATCAATATATTACATCATATAATATAATGAATGTGGCGCACAGGTGCGCCGTGGCACACGTGTGTCACCTACGCCAGCAACGCCTGGGGGCGACGACTGCTGCTCCTCCAAATGATTTGCCACATTCTTCACGGCTTTCACAAATCGCACATCCTTCACTTGTTTTATTTTGTATTTTACTTTTTATTGAGAGCGACTGCAAGGACGCAATCAGCTTTTGAAGTGCTGTTTGACGTCTTTGACTTTAGATCTTCTATTATTATTCCTATTCGTATTGTTGTCGTTGTTGTTATTGTTGCTTTTGTTACTGTTGTTTCTGTTGTTGCTGGCTTTGGCTGTATCCGTTTTAATGCTCAGCAATTCAAAATGTGATTTTGGTGTTGATTTATAAAGGAAGCAGTGCAATTCGTAGACACTCTTGAATTTGTTGTCTTGTATTCACACCAACACACCGACACAAACACATGCAGTGATGAGCACGCGGATTCACATTCATTTGCTGTTGGCACGCCCCACGCCCACTTCGTGCTATGTCATTTGTTGCCAAGCGCTTTCCGTTACAATTTCTGTTTTGTTTTGTTTTTTTTTTATTCTGAAAACTTTCGCACATTTCGCGCCTCGCCTTTAAATTTGATCAGCCTGGCGTAAGTTTGCTTTCGGTTTTCGGGGTTTTCTGTCCGCCCACACACGTCCGCCACCGAGCCATGCAAATGTCCGACTAAATTGTCGTAGCAAAAGATGTCGTGCCAATGCCACATGCACGCGTTTTAACAAATTTAAAGTTTCATCTGATTTCTGATGTTTCGCGTTCCTTGTTGCCTGCTGCGGCTGCTGTTAAAGTTGCTCCTGCTCTTAGTTGATGTTTCATTTCTCATATTTGCTGCTCAGGCTGCTGATGCTGTTGTTGTAGTTGTTGTTGCTATTGCTCCTCTCATCAGATGTTTCATTTCTCATTTTTAGTTTCTCATTTCGTTTTCAGGCGCTAGCATTGCTCCACTCTTCGGACGTTTCATACCACTTCGTTTATTTCGTTCCCAAACGATGCTACTGTCGTTCGGCTTGCCCGACACTCGTCGGCGTTTCCCCTCATCTAAGTCATGCCAACGTTTCATTTCTACAAGAGCTTCTCTTCGTGGAGGGGTAGTGGAAAATAATTGGGATGCTGTGAAACGTTGAGTGTTTCTGTTTGCAGCGCATGACTGTTCTCGGGGCTGTTAAATAGAAACATGTTAACCGCTTCAGCAATGCAGACCGTTAAAACCCCTATTTTATTATTCGTGTGTAAATCTCAGCCAACTTTACATTTGTTGATAAATCTGAAAGGCTTATGGAATTGACATGATGATCTTTATAGTCTTGAAAGATATATCCAACTAAACTTTTCAAATACCAGTTCAATTAATATCTGAAAAAACATAACCTATATTCATGTATAACTAGTAGGCAGCCCACTTGGCCAACTGTGTATATATGTTCATATAATATTCATAGCCACTTAAGTGATCCCCATATCAATATAGCATAATTAACAAAAGACCCGAATCATGCTGGATTCGGCATCATCAGGGCCTCACTTAATATTAAGCAGCTGGGAAATCTTTTGATTCCCCTCAGTCTCGTTGCCTTTCGGCTGCTGCTTCTGACTTCTTCAGTTCTTTTGCATGTTAAATGCGCATTTATTTCCGCAATTTGGTAAATTCAATTGTGTTCGCTGAGCAAACAAATACAACTTACACTTCATACATTTGTATGACAGTTATACGTATGCCATAATGGCCATGAGAATGCACATGTGCGTATGTGTGTGTGTGTGTGTAATCATGTACGTCATGTGCTGTATGGGGTGCCAGAGGTAGCATGTAGCACAAGTAGCGCACAAATAATTGAGTCTGCATCGTACAAAGGATTCTTGCCAGCTGTAAAAGGCGATTCGCATTGCCTCTGTGACTGCGAGGTAAAAACTGAACTACATCTTTTATTGAGAGACATGTGTTGTGAAACGCACAACAAAAGTTGCAATTGAAACGAGAAATGAAATACCCAGTGCACCGAATATCCGATACCCTCGTCGTCTCGGCTCTCAGGCCGTCCCACAACCAGGCCCTGCCACGCGGTAAGCAAATCCCGTCGACTGTTTTTTAACGCTCCCCGCTTGCTTCTGCCTTTGCTGTGCATAATGAAGCCGTTTTGCCAGCTGCTCTTTGCTGCAATAAAATATATCACTTGATTGCCGCTTAAAAGTCAAGTGGCGCGCGATTAAAAATAAAGCCCTCGAAATAGGCAGCAACAGCAGCAGCAGCAGCAGCAAATTGAAAAGAGCAACTGCACGGCGGATCCTGCATCGTCAGGCTCATCCTCGCGCCTCTTCAGCCGGCTGACACATTTTGAAGGAGTCTCAGCGCCAGACTGGATTGCACGAACTCCATGTCGACATCATTAAAAAGTATTTAAATAGTGCTCGTTGCACGCTGCGTATACGCAATGAGAAGTCTTTTGATGGGCTGCAGGTGCTGCAGGCGCAGTGACTGACGTCAATAAATAAAGCAGCTCCATTTGCATAAACCATCTTTCCAGATGTCCAATTGATAGCCCACTTTCAGCTGCAGCCATACCCCGAATGCTGTATGTAAATTTAATTAAAAAGGATTTCATACTCTTTTATTATTCACGCAGCATCCCTCACCCTCTCTCGCTCTCACTCTCGCTCCCTATCCCAAGGCTTTTAGCAATTTAGTTGAATTTCAGAGAGTTTCAATAATAGCCCAGGGCAGTGTCTAAGCAAACAGTTGGCCAAATATTTGGGCCAATGCCAGAGTTGGCAAACAAAGACTAAAACAGATGCAGTCTAATGTGTAGGCAGGCAGTAAATTTATAAAACAAATACATATATATGTGTGTATGTGTGTGTGTGTGTATGGCCATGCCCGGCCGTTGCGCTGCCCGGAAATATTTGCAACATTTAAATATTGCATAAAATATAAATATTGCGACAAGTTTGTTTTACACTTACTGGCAGCAAAGTTCGAGAGGACTCACTTGATACGAGTCCTGCAGCAGGCAGACAATGAAAAGCTTGACGCTGCAACTGAAACTGAAGCAGAAGCAGAAGCCGAAGCAGAATCAGCAGGCATTTAATACTATATAATTGGAGCTTATTTTTACAAACTCACAAAT